GCTCGGGCTGGACTCGAACCGCTGTTGCTCAGAGCTCAAACTCTTGAGCGAGCTCTTAACCAACTGATCCACTCGGCCGGCCCCCTTTATCATTTTATAATGACCTTCTTTGCTTCTTGTTACAGTTTTTGACTTAAAGTTTATTTTGTCTGACATAAGTGTCCTACCCATGCTTTCTTTTAGTTTCTATTTGCATGTAATATCCTTTCCCATCCCTTTACTCTCAGCCTATGTGTATCCTTAAAGCTGAAGCATGTCTCTGTTAGGCAGCTCATCCTGGGGGCTTCACAGATTTCTCTGGGCATTATATGCATGGGTAAACACTTCAACTCTTCTCTCTTAAGGTACTCATGGGTAGTAGTTTCTTTCTCTTTATATATATATATATGTATATATATATGTGTGTGTGTATATATATATATATATAATCATTATGAACCCATTTAAATAAATAAATTTATTTATTTAAATGAGCCTTTATCTTGGTTTTATTTCTTTAAATGGGCTCATAATGATCTTCAACTTTTTCACTTATAAATATATCTTGTATACACTTCCTCATCAATACATATAGATCAAATTCATTATTTTTAACAGGTATGTAGTATTCCATAGTATGAAGGGACTGTAAAGCATTAAAGCAATCCACAGTTTTACCAGTTGGGGATATTACCAGTGACTGACTATCTTTATACACCTTTATGTGAATGGGACAGTATTTCTGGTATCTTGCTTTTGTAGTCAGGGCTTTGGTCATTTCCAGCAGAAAAGAGTGGCAGACTTCTGTCTTTTCCTTGGAGGGGGCTCAACTGTTGGGCATCATCCTATGCCTGAGTCACAGCTGCCCTTATGACATCATAGGTCTCCCCCATTTACTCTTTCTACCCATGCCATGGCTAGAGGAGCACAGACCTGAGGGGATCTGAACCATCTATACACCCAATCCATGTGGGACCAATGGTGAGTCAGAGACAGACACACCAGGCTTTTTAGTAATGTCCTGGTAGATCTCTCAGAATGAAGGGACCCCCCTGACTTCTGAATACTCCTGGAGGCCCTGGAAGCCGGGGATGTATGGGATACTGAATGGAGAGAGAGGGAGAGCAGCCTAACTCTTGCCTTTCCCCTAACTGCTGATCGCAGGAAACAGGCCAGCCTAAAAACATTAAGAAACACACTAAAGATGAGCCTCAGCAGGTAGAGAAGCCGACTGGTTCATCCTCAGCACCACGGTCCTCAGAGAAGAAGGTAGAGGTAGAAGGAGCACTGAGTTGGATGCCTCTGGTCCTGTGTCCTCGTGCTTATGGCTAGTGTCTTTTGCATGGTTTGGAGCTAAGAACAGGAATAATCTCATTCTTGTCTGTCCTCTTTCCCCATTTCTTTTTCAGGCTAACAATGTGAATAAGGTTGAAATGAAGAGAGCAGATGATGCTAATAAGAGACCCAGAGAAGTATGACCCTTCTAGACACACAGGGCTGGGACTGGGAATGTGGGGGCCATGTTTATGGAATGGAATGGCCAACTTATGGGAATCTGGACTTAATCAGCAGTGTGTGTGTGTGTGTGTGTGTGTGTGTGTGTGTGTGCGCGCGCGCTTGTGCATGCATGTTTACTTGTTAATTAATAACCCTCCCTCGGGCGCAACTGATCTCATAGATTCACTGCACACAAATTTTCAAATATCTAACAGTTAAAGTTAGATATAAATTAAAAATTTCATTCTGAATAAATAATAAGCATGCTTACATGTTATTTTCAATTTAAATAAATAAACGTCATACATGCATCTAGTAGATGCATTACGCCCGAACTTGTAACTTGTGTAGTGCCTGATGGAGGGTTAAAATTTAAAGTGTGGAAGTCAAGAGATGTGAAGATTGGGGAGAGATGGGGCAGAATTTTATAGGGTGGAAGAACGTTTTAATACTATGACATGCAGAGAAAGAGAGCCTGTTGTGGACTGGAGCTGGAGTCACAACTGAAAGGGCAGAATTAGCAAAAGCTGTCACTTCTCCAGCAGGTGGGCGGGGTCTGAAGGGAACGGTCACAGACCCTGGTTAGGTAAACATGGTGATCCTTTGACCCATAGATCATGGTGTTCTGGCCCTAGGCTGGCCAACTTGATCCATGTCAAACTGGGTAGCCAGGGCAGATGTCCCCCCATTTTACAAATGGGTACTCTAAGATGCAGAGGTCAATGTGATGTGTGATGTGTCCATGTCCACTAACGAAGGAAGGACAGAGACGGGACACCTACCTGGTCTTCTGGCTCCAGCCAGTGCCCTGCCCAGTGTTCCTGAGGTTTAGAAGGAGGGGTGATTGTTGACAGGGAGTCAGGGTCCCTTCCTGACAAAACCTGGGGCTGAAGTGGGTGGGGACCATTTTCTGAATGTCCTCTTTTTTTTTTTTTTTTTTTCAAGAAAACCCAGGAAACCAAAATAAGCTCCACACTAGTAATCTGGAAGTCGTAAAGATCCAGGCCTGGTGGCGGGGGACCCTGGTGCGCCGGACGCTGCTGCACGCGACCCTCAGAGCTTTAGTCATTCAGCGCTGGTGGAAGCAGATTCTGATGAAGGTGCAGGAGAAGAGGCGGCGGGCGGCGCTGGAGACCTTCACACGGAACGAGTGGGCGGCAGTCAGGCTGCAGTCCTGGGTCCGCATGTGGCGCATCCGCCTGCGCTACTGCCGTTTGCTCCACGCCGTCCGCATCATCCAGGCCTTCTGGCGGTGCCACTCCTGTGCTTCTCGGGGTTTCATTAAGGGCCACTACAGAGTCACAGCCAACCAGCTGCATCTCGAGATAGAGATCTTGCTGGGCTCAGGGCCTTGCATTGTGACCGAGTGTATTCCTCTCCCAATAAAGCAGTGACTTGGTCGTTTCCCAGCCTCTCCCTGTTGGACAAGCTCCAGGAGGTCAGGGCAAGTGATGGCAGATACTTAGCATCCCACGTGCTAGCCCTGAAGAGCCGACCCGGGTTGTTGGAGGCCCAGTGGTGGTCTGAGGAGAAGGATTCTGGGCCTTTGTCCAGACTGAGCAGAGACGGTGATGGATTGGCAATGCCTACCATAGGTAGGAAAGTTGGGGGTACAGATCTGCCATGTTGGCCAATGCAGGGAGCATTGATCATGTCTGGTCTGTGTAAATGGTGCCTCTCCCCAAGGTTGCGGATGATAGTCTTGGGGGAGGGTGGTTGCTAATGGCAAAGCTAGCACATTTGCCAGGAATTCATACACCTAGATCTCTGCTCCAGGCTTGTCTCCCACCCACATGATTGAGGAGCCCACCCACCCCAAGCTCTGTGACCGTGGTTTCTGTTGGTTTGTAAACTGGCCCCCATACATGCAGGGTAAGGACAGACTGAAGAAAGAGGGAGGCCACTCCAGATGGGTAGGTGGCAGGTTGAATCAGCATGGGGTCTTATTTGTACATATGAGGCTTGTCATGTGTCCCCAGGATGAGTAGATCTCTGCACCCGCCCACCAGAATCTCAAAGTTGATAGAGGGGCCTTAACTGGGTCCAGTCACATATACTGTTCAAATGGTCTCAGCACCACATTACTATCTCAAAGCTGCATTCTTGAAAGCGGTCTCACTGCGGGAATGGTGGGCAGTGGTCATTCCATGGACAGGAGGGTGTGACGAGCCTCCGATTGCCTGTGTCCAGCTCACAGATCAACCAGCAATCACATCCTCTCAATGACCTCCTCCAATAGCTCCCTACTCAACTGGGGGCTGTATGCTCATACTTGGCCTCCAAGTCAGAATCTGAGACCTAGGTTGTTAGAGTGCATAGCCCCAGTCCTCATTCCCGCTTCAAACTCTGTCCTTCACCCTTCAGCCCCAAGCAGAGGCTAGAACTCATACTTCTCCAGACCTGGTGGGTATGGGAGGTTCTAGGTGTGGGGATGGAGAAAGAAGGCATTCTACTGCTAGCTGAACCCTCTGGTGAGTGTCAGGCCCCAGGCTATCACAGACCCGGAGATGAGAAGGCATCAGCCATGTCTTCCTCTCCCTCTCCCCAGGCCCAGTCTCTGCAAGGGTTGGTCCAGGAAGAGCTGGGATCTCTGCCAGTCCCTTCATGTGAAAAGCTGCCACTTGGGGCCTAGGTGATGACAAAAGGCCAATTAAGAGGTCAAGGTTAGTCTGTCCCTCTGCCCATTTTGGAACTGCCATCCCATGGTTTTCTGCAGAGAGAGCAGGGTCTTGGGTCTTTGACTAATGTCCATCAAGGTTGCAAACTCAGAGGCACTTTGCCTGGCCCTGCTCCACTTACTCTGCCCTGATGAGCTGGTCCCTCATCTGAGACACTGCCCAGAGGCCTTGGGCTCCAGCTCTCTGTCTTGCACTGGGGCGTGAGCTCTGTATTTATCACTCCGTCCCTTCATGTCCTGCCCCTGGGTCACTCAGGTCTCTTTCTCTGAAGGATTTCTGCCTCCTTTCTCCTTGCCTCCCTTTTTCTCTTGTGTCCAGTGTCTACGAATAAAGAGCGAGGACTTTGGAGCCCGACCAACCGAGGTGAGATCCCTGCCTTTCCCACTCACTGCCATACAGCCGTGGACGCGTCATTTTCCCTCTTCTGAGCCCCAGTTTCCTGAGCTGTGAAGTTGGGCTAATGATTCTCACTTTTCAGTGTGAATGTCAAGTGCCATAAAAATTCAGCATCTGCAACAAAACAAGGAAAAGGGGTTGCACCCACGAACCTTAAAAACTGGCAGCCAGGGAATGACAGCAAATTCTGGGGTGGAGTGGCTGCCCACCGAGCACACGGAGGTGTGCACATCATTATTGGGGCCCAGGCCCTCTCAGTGGACAGGGATAGGGAATATATGTATGTGCAGACACACAGGCACACACATTTCTATCTGTCATCTGTGTATATTATAAAGGGTGAGTTCAGGCAGGCCAGGTAGAACAGTTGGTTAGAGTGTGAGCTCTGAGCAACAGTGTCGCCGGTTCGTTTCCCACATGGGCCAGTGAGCTGCACTCAAGCTGAGCTGCTCCTGAGCTGCCAACAGGTGGCAGGATGGCTCAGCTGTGAGAGCGCGTGCTCTTAACAACCAGGTTGCCGGTTCAACTCCTGCATGGGATGGTGGGCTACGCTCCCTGCAACTACCATATTTCCCCATGTATAAGATGCACCCTTTTTCAAAAAATTTGGAGTCTAAAAACTGGGTGCATCTTATACAGTGGTTGTAGATTTCAAATGCCATAGATGGAACTGAGGACAAGGCAATATATGAAGACAGTGACTCGTCATCAGACACAGACGAGGACAAGCTAATGGTTGGGAGTTTTGACAGTGATGAGGAGTTTTATTAATTTTATGATGAATAAAATTTGAGTTCAATAACTTTATGTAATACATTTTTTTTCAAATTTCGGGCCCCAAAATTAAGGTGTGTCTTATACATGGGGAAATACAGTAGATTGAAAATGGCGACTGGACTTGGAGCTGAGCTGCGCCCTCCACAACTAAGACTGAAGGACAACAAGTTGACTTGGAGCTCATGGGTCCTGGAAAAACACAATATTCCTTTCCCCAATTCCTCAACACTGTTCTCTTCCTCAATTCCCCAATAAAATCTTTAAAAAACAAACAAACAAACAAACAAAAAACGGGTGAGTTCACACTGATACCTCCAATCTCAACCTAAAATCAAAGTGTCCATGCTAGTTTTCTTCTTTTCATGTTTCTATCTCCTATTTCCAAGATTAAGAAATTATCCTTAATAAGTTTTCTCCCACTATCCTTAATAAACTTTCTTACTTTATCTTCCCTGTATGTAACTAATCTTCCATGATTGCTGCTGGTCTCTTTCCCATGCAGACACTGTCCCCACCCTGTTTGAACTCTGACACCTGCTGGGTCCTTAACCTTCTCTGTGTAGCTCAGGCTCCCACTTCCCACATTGGTCGCTGTCCTGTGTGAATGCTGCTCTCATCAAATTGGGCTGACATGAAATGTCAGGGTGTCCTCTGCAGATATCTTCCTCATTGCGCTCAAGTTCTGACTTTACCACTAAGGATGCCCTCCTCATCCCATCCAGGGACAATACCCATTACCACCATGACCTTGGACCGTCGTGTTTGGACTCCCTCTTCATGCTTTGCCTGGGTCTGCCACTCTGTGCCAGCAGGCCCCTGTGTGGACTCCTCCTCCCCCTGTCAGGGTTCTGTGCTGGGCAGACCTCTGATGTGAACACCTCCTCACCCTCTTGGGATCCACACCCCACTCTGTGCCACGGTGGCTCTGTTCTCACCAGGTGCACCTATGATGCACTCACTGTCCAGCTTAATGACTTTCAGAGTGAATTGTACAGGAAGGAAAGGGGGAAAATGAAGGAAAGAACATGAGGAAACTAAGTTTTCAATTAAAAAAACATAGAGACAAGCCATCTGCAGAAGAAAACTGTCAGTTATCGGCTAAATCTGTGTCCATGTTTTCACCCCAAATCTCAAGGCAACATGACCACAAAGAAAACTCAGAAAATATACTGAGAAAATGGATAAAAATGTTTGAGCACAGGCTCAGGTCTTTCTCTCTTAATATAAATTCATACGTGTTACAGAAAGAGTACATTTATTATTTTTTTTAATCTCTAAGACTACCTAAAAAATTAGGGATTTCAGTGGACAGAAGTCATGTGGACTCTTTAAAGGACAGAAGATATATGTGAAATAAACAAAAGAAAATCAGTCAAAACTCTAAAAAAGACAAAAGTGGAGAGTGGCCACGCAGTCCCTCCAAGCTTGGAGGTAGCTGGTCCAAGGAGTAGTAGGGGCCATGGGTGACCTCTGGGGCTGGTTGGAATATACTTATAGGAAGAGCAGCCGGCTCTCCAGATGAACTATGTAGTTGGCAAGAGAGGGCCTGTTTCCAGGGAGCCATGACTGGCCTGGGAAGAGAGAGGGGCTGGGTACCATGTGACACTCTTGCACAGGAAGACCCCCTGCCCAGGAGACTTCCCACCGACACCCTACCCCTGACAGCCCACATCTCCTCTGCAATCCATGGAGTTAGGGATGTGACACAAATCAACAGGCACAGGGGACATATCAAAACAGATGAGCACCCAACCCTGAATCATCAAGCTTTGAAGGAAACCAACGGTGTGAAAAAGCACCCCTAAACTCAACAAACAGAAACATGATGGCCAAAGGAAAGACTAAGAAGGCAATTTAAAGAAGTGAAATTAATATTCTCAGTGGGTGGGAGGAAACATCTGAGATATGAAAGAACACACCATTATTAACAAGAGCCATTTATGGATCTTAGAAAGGAACAATGTTAAAACTTGATAGATGGGATGACTAGCAGAATGGATGTAACTAAAGTTCAGATTAATGAGTGGAAAATTTGACACGAGGAGCTCTCCTGGAACACTGTACAAAAGAGCAGAAAAATAAAAAGGTTAAAAAAAAGTAAATAAAAAAAACGGAGCACCAGTCCAGAAGTTCTGGTCATGGTTGAATTGGTGTTCCCAAGAAAAGAAGTTCAGAGATGGAGAGCAGGGACATTCAAAGCATTAATGAGTTTCTCAGAGCTTAAAAAGACTCAGTTGACCCCAAAAGGTGAAGGAAAACAGATGGAGCTCCAAACAGGTCGCAGCACAATCTCAGAATTGATGGAGATAAAACACTTAAATATTTAAAGATGGAAAAAAAATCAACAAACAATCCACTAAGGAATAAGTCTCAGATTGACATCAGTTTTCTCAGGAGCAAGGAGAACATGGAGACACATCCTCAATGCTCTGAAAGAAAAGAAATTTAAACACTGAATGATATAACACCTAAAATGTCATTCAAGTGTAAGGGCAAATGACATTTTTATCAATTCAAAGACATTTTTATTAATGCAAAGTTTA